TTCCATGTTATAAAAACTTTTCCCACCTTGAGAGTTCTCATTAAAAGTTTTTGAGATGTTTATAAAATATTTAATTTATTTTAGATAAACTGAGATGTATTTATTGCATGAAGAAAGGATTGGTGTAAATACTGTGTTAAATAAGCATAAATATCGTATAAAATTGTTCTCTAAACGTTTATAATACAGTATTAAAATTTGTCGTATAACTGTATTTTTGCTCTAAGAACTTTATCACGACTTAAAAGCAAAATACTTCTTAAAAACTTACTGAAGATTTTAAAATAAAATTACGTTCTAAGAGCAGTAATAGAGCAATTATAAAATGGAATGGCGCGGATAGTTGAAAATTACAAAATATCTTTGTTAGTTGGGAGTTTTTATGCAAGGCTGCCATTGGCAATAGATTGCCTTTTTCATTCTTGGATAGTGTTTGCAGGTATGGGCGACCTATTTTCGGTACATTTGTGCAAAATTTTCCAGTAGATCGTAAAATTTCTCGGTAGTCGGCAAACCAATAAACAAAAACTTGCCAGTGATCGAAAATTGAAGAGGGTGGCACCTTGATTGAGCTCCACTAGGTTTTGAAAATTGAACATGGGCGACCTATTTTCGGTACATTTGTACAAAATTTTCCAGTAGATCGTAAAATTTCTCGGTAGACGGCAAACCAATAAACAAAAACTTGCCAGTGATCGAAAATTGAAGATGGTGGCACCTTGATTGAGCTCCACTCGGTTTTGAAAATTGAACATGGGCGACCTATTTTCGGTACATTTGTACAAAATTTTCCAGTAGATCGTAAAATTTCTCGGTAGTCGGCAAACCAATAAACAAAAACTTGCCAGTGATCGAAAATTGAAGAGGGTGGCACCTTGATTGAGCTCCACTCGGTTTTGAAAATTGAACATGGGCGACCTATTTTCGGTACATTTGTACAAAATTTGCCAGTAGATCGTAAAATTTCTCGGCAGACGGAAACCAATAAACAAAAACTTGCCAGTGATCGAAAATTGAAAAGGGTGGCACCTTGATTGAGCTCCACTAGGTTTTGAAAATTGAACATGGGCGACCTATTTTCGGTACATTTGTACAAAATTTTCCAGTAGATCGTAAAATTTCTCGGTAGACGGCAAACCAATAAACAAAAACTTGCCAGTGATCGAAAATTGAAGAGGGTGGCACCTTGATTGAGCTCCACTCGGTTTTGAAAATTGAACATGGGCGACCTATTTTCGGTACATTTGTACAAAATTTTCCAGTAGATCGTAAAATTTCTCGGTAGACGGCAAACCAATAAACAAAAACTTACCAGTGATCGAAAATTGAAGAGGGTGGCACCTTGATTGAGCGCCACTCGGTTTTGAAAATTGAACAGCGGGGAGGTAGCATCAAATGACCCTATTTTGTGTTTCATTGATTTGCCACAAAATCGGTACATATACCGAACAATCGGTAGACCTGGTAACACTGGTGGAGTCCCTCACTTTTTTTGTGGGAAATAATAAAACCGTTACTGAGCTACTACACCCAACAGCCTGAAAATCATACTCTTTCGCTCAGACTACACCAAAGTTTGCCTGAACTAGACGGGAAGCTCTCGTTTCATCTGGTGGCATAGCAGAGCGGTGTGCCCTCTCTTCACTCCGTCGTCTATTTATCACGTTTTGAAGGGCCGCGGCTGACACTGACAACCATTGTTCGGCAATCATCGCGCGCCCTCTGCTCATAATATAGGCCATAATTTCGGATTCCCGCTAGCTCCGCCGCATCCTAGCTTTATCTTTTGGCTAAATAGTATCTGTTACTCTGTCTCTCGTCAAGTTCGCGGCGCGGCATTCAGGATGAAATACGGCGATGTTGTATAGCTTATACCTATCGAGTTTGCCAGGCGATTTCGCATGGTTCTTTGTTCTTGATAGGGATTTATGGTGTGATGTTGAATTATGCTTGGGTCGCGTGACAAGTTTCGCACCAATCCATATAGGGTTATTATAAGGAGAAGGTGACGATCTTTAGTTCATCACAAATGTAGTGTAGCTGAATCGGGCGTTGTCTCAATTCGTATTTGCAAGGTGTTATTTGGAGACTCAATTAAATTTTTATTCAATCTTGAACCTAGTTGCTAGGAGCTAGCGCTCAATTTCGGTCGCTATCAATGAATCCGAAAAGATTAGAAGTCAAGCCTTGTATGCTTACATTGCATTGTTTGTCGTTAAAATTGCGTGTTTTTAGTGAATACTTTGGACTCATTTCACTACCATACCGCTGGAAGGATCTACCTTCATCAGACTCTTTGTAAATTATGAAAAAAGTACCATGTTTGAAACCGTCTAATACCACAATTATCCGCAAATAATCGCACTTTTAAAAATAACTTGAATAATGCGAATTTGGTGACAAAAATTACAAAAAAATTAATTTGTCATTAACTTAGTGAAGGCAACTTCATCCTGACTACAGACTGAGACAAACAGATCGTAGGGTTGCTCCTTCTATCTAGTCTGAGCTCGCTCTTTATCGACTGAATCTGCTTACTACACTTTGTACCCATGCATAGGCCGCCATCTACATGAATTATACCAGCTTTATTAAAATGCTTGTTGGAATCACTGCGTGACATGTCAGGAAAATTAATTATAAAGAGTCAGGAGAAAGAAGGAAACATACCGGCATAACTGTTTTTTTTTCAGAATAGAAATTTTGTAGCTGTTTATGTAAAAGTGGTGAAACAGTATCAGGCAAGACTTTTGTGCATTGCAACAGCAGGTGGAAGGTGGCCGCCACGAACGCCTGCGTTTTAAAGAGATAGTGATGACGTCTGATACTTATAAAGTGATAAGTGATAAGAATATAAATCCAAGCACATGTCGCATTGAAATCGATTGCAAATGGGTATAGCGTAATAGGAGCGATTTACATTGTAATATAAAACTGGCATTACCTGGTTTTTTTTGAAATAATTTATTTAAACACAAAAATACAAAATATATAACCAGTTTTAACAATAATACTTTAATCAGTGCTTGCAAACACTGGCCTCGAGAATAACAAAACAATAATCAATATCTATAAAATATACACTGCAATGTCGCTCACAGTTTCAACAAATACATTTTTCTTTTTTCAATTCTCTAACAAAACGTCTATAGTTGTTTAAATCTTTTATACAATGAGGTAAATTGTTAAATTTTTATTTGCTTCTGTGATTGGATTTTTTAAACCTATATTAGCTCTTGTGGAAACTTGATAAACATTATTTAGTGATCTTGTTTGGTGATCATGCACTATTTATGGTACTTTTTTGTAGATTATTTAGAATTTTATAATCAAGCCAGTCAAAATTAAACAATGTTTTCAAAATTTTGTTTTGCAAAATAATCTCTACTCTTATAATATAAGGCAGATAGCATTGAAACTATTTCATCAGAAATTCCATTTAAGTGTAGTGACCAATTTAAACTTTCATCTATCAGTAGACCCAAACATTTAATACTTGACACTTTTTCTAGCGCTATACTATTTATGTTAATATTTAGATTATTGTAAACTGACTTATTTTTTGTTTAAATATAATGTATTTTGTTTTTTCGATGTTAATTTTTAATCTATTTGAAAGCAGCCATTTAAGATAACTATTTAGGTCATTCATCATTAATAAGATTCGTTAAAGCAATTTCGTGTGTTCCAGTATATACCACTACAGTGTCATCTTCAAAGGTAAAATATCTTGCCCTTAGATTGGTCAACTTGAGATTCAGTACGTAAAGACTGTATAACAGAGTTCCAAGAACTGACCCCTGTGGTACCCCGTAGGTGTTGGATGACCATTCACTATCAATGTCTCCAAGCTTTATGTACTGTTTTCTGTCATATAAAGAAGTCTTAATCATCTCATTTTAAACAATTTATTCAAAAGAATATCTATGCTTACTACGTCAAAAGCTTTTTAGGTCAATGAAAACAGCTACAACTATTTCTTGTTTATCTAGAGCCATTGAAATGTAGTAATCCACAACCGCACGTGTGCTACTGTTCGTTATTCGTAACATTTTTTTTTATCAATTTCTCTATGATTTTAGAGAATACACTTACAACTGAAATAGGCATGTAATTGTTCATACATCTTTTACCATTTCATTTCATTTTGTCCCAGTAACAATATCTTTTTGAGACGTTTTGAGAGTTTTTTGTCGCCTTTTGGTATCTTAAAAAAATATTTCCAAAATAACTGTAAACAACTGATATTTGATAACAGAGGGAGTGGGTGTGGTTGTCAAGTGTCACTTCCTGCAACAAAATCGTCGTTTATTTGTCTTAGTTAGGATTTATTTCTTCAAATAGCGCATCACAGAAGTATCCAAAGTATGCAAGAAAGCATTATCTGTAGTGTACTAATAGTCTGTGCTATATATTCCACTGTCAATTTCATTTTTGTCAAAGTTTTTGAAGCGGTCCATTCAGATAACATCTAACAAGCCGTACTTCATGCAGCACCAACTCGTATCAATTAGGTACACCTGGACATAACCGTTGTAGCACACGTTTTAATAAAACACTTGCTGATTGCTTGTAGGACTGTTTGTCTTGCCATCTAGGTCTATGTATTGCGAGTGGTGGACGATCTCACGTATGATGACGTAGAAACGAAGAGTTGTAACCTATTGTTTATTCTCAGGGAAAATGGACACGAGAGTGTGTCAAGTTTTGCAGCATAAGCTTTTGACTCAGGTGGTCCTACAGACATATTTGACATGAGCGCGATCATTCGCCCATCTATATTTCTCATAGTCCAAAGATAGATCATGACTTCCTGGTGGCTCTGGTCTTTGACGCGGGCTTCCAAGCACGAATATAAAAAAACGCTTGTTTCACCATATTATTAATATGGAAGTGACTTGCTGTAAGCTACTAAATTAAAAATAGATATTACGCTTTTGTTAAATGGAATGATTATCAATTAGACATAATGCGTCAAATATGTACGACGTATAACACGCTCAGTAAACGAGAAATTTTGACGGTAAGTCTGACAACACCGCCGCGTCTCGCCTCCGCAATTCCCGCCGTCCCAGACCGGTCTTCCTCTTCTTGCTTTCTTCGCGTTCTTCTTCTTGGAGCACGGCTGGTTCATTAGCGAATTTCAAGGTCAGAGGTACCGCTGTATTGCCGCTTGCCTGCTGGAAGGTTGCGCGTCGCCAAGCCAAATGTGCTTTCAACGTTTTCCTTCGATCTATAAATAATTTTCGCTATGAACGTGGTCATTTGAAATCGAGCCACAGCTTTTTAAACTCTTCACTTCGGCTATATTTATGTAATTAATATTTTTATCGATTATTGTACAGCTGAAAAGTTTTCTTACTGGAAAAGAGTCAGTCGCACCCAGTGGCGGCCGGTGGCTGTGAGAAATGGGGGGCTATTGTAGGGAAGGGTGGCCTGCCGCAGTCACCGCCGGAGGCAAAGAATTTTTACGGTGCCACGCCCAAAAACTTCCATTTTGAGCCTTCAAATTCAAATATACATTTTTAGAGCTATAATTTTTTTTGCATTTTTTATGTCCTGATTTTGTGGATGGATCAGTTGGCAATCCTATACCTATATATTTTATGTACAGTCCTCTGTATAGGAACAAACATATTTTAGGTACGAGAACTTATCGCAAAAGAAAGCAGCATCTAATATGAAAGCAACAGAGCATCTATTATCAAAAGAACAACAGTACTCAAAAGTATAGTTTTTCACTTTCTTACAACACATGTAACTATAAATAACTGGAAAAGAGAACAGAAATACGGTATACCTAAATGTATTATTGTATTATAAACGACTAAGTATACCTACCTACAGCTAGAGCAAACATTGTGTTTCAACTGTCACACTTCACACTTCTATTTATTACAAAATATTTTTTAATGTTTATATGTAAAGTCTAATCTTCTGTCTTTCTGTGAAATAAAATGTTCCATCACTTTTTCGTCGAAATTGCTGATATTATGTACCAGATTCTTATTAACAGACATCATTGCCAATGCATTCAGTCGTTCATTGCCCATCGAGTTTCTTAAAAACGATTTTATCCTCTTAAGGGTTGAGAAACAGCGCTCTGCTTCGGAAGTTGACATGGGAGTAGTTATAATTATTTGCAACAACTTAGTTACTTCGCTAAAAGTTTCCTCTAGGTTGTTATTAGTCAATAGGGACAGCAAATTCAAACCACCTGTAATATTTTTGAAGTCTTCCCTCATGTACATTACTTCTAATTCGGTTTTCAGTTTTTCTTTATTTACCATTGGATAATAAGTCACAACTGAATTCAGTATTTTTGCTGGAAAATATCTCGAATAGTTTGTGAAGTTTTGTGTATCTAATAAAGATGCAGCTTCTAGATGACCCCTGTAAGAAAGTCTCTCTTTTGTCTGTACAATTATTATATCGCAAACTTCTTTTGCAATAATACAATTTCTTTCTTCGGGTCCTACTTTTCTGCGTTTATTTCCATTGTCTCCATGCTCATTTTCAACAGTTTGCTGTATATCCTCTGTAGTGTCCCTAATCAATACAATGGCCTTCTCAAATACGTCAATATCTTTTAAAAGTTGTACACTGTCTTTATTCCTACTTTGAAACTGGTTAAACAAAATAGCTACGTGCGGTAGGGTTTTGTGAAAAAAAGTCAAAAAAAAGATGAAATCAGAATCTTCGAGTGCTCTTCTTAAACCGTATGCCTCCTTACTAGTAATTGTTTTATCACATTTATTCTCTAACTCCCGGAAACAATCAATAAGACTTTCACGGTTCTCAAAAACGGCACTGACTGTGCGAATGTTATAATTCCACCGTGTTGGCGCAACCTTTGGCATTTTGGTTTTAACTATTTTTTCCAATAAATCGCATCTGTGCGTGGAGTTGGAGAAGAAACTTGGAATTGCCGACAGGTTTGAAAAAAACACTTTTACTTTTGGATTTTGGCTGGCTGCTCTCTGCATAATTAAGTTCAGTTGGTGAGCGTAACAGTGTATAAAATGAGCGTTCTGATATTTTTGTTTGATTTTTGTTTGAACTCCACCACTGCTACCGCTCATTACGTTTGCACCATCATAAGTTTGCGCAATTAATTTGTGGGGTGAATCTTTTAATAATGGGCCTAGTTCTTCTTCGATACACTTTGCCAAACCTTCAGCTGTCTTGTCCGTAACGCTCAAAAAACGCCAAAATCTTTCTTGTATTTCACCTTCATGGAGATATCTAAATATCATTACCATTTGACAATGATGAGAAATATCTGTTGTTTCGTCGCACTGTATAGCTAAAAACTCTGCTGCATTAATTTGCTGTCGAATTTCTTGTTGGCAGACTTCCAACATACTATCTAGTATTTCATTTTGTACTGTTTTAGAAATACCCTTAAACAGAGTCGCACTTTTTAAATGTTCCTTTAATATTGTATCCAGTTCGGACGTAAAATTAATCAACTCTCGAAAAATGCCACGATTTTCAGAGTCTTCACTTTCGTCGTACCCTCTTAACGCTAATTCCAATTTACCGCAAAACTTTATACAGTTTATTATTCTTTTTAAAAGATATCTATTTTTGTCCACTTGCTCGTTGTGCTTAATAATATTTTGCCTGTAAGCGGAATCTAACTGAGCAGCGATACTAGCTGTTCCCAATAAAGCTAATTCTGTCGAACAAATCATGTGACGAGCCGAATTTTCATGCTTACTAATTTTCTGGTTTATATGCTTTAAATCTTTAAATCCAGTTCTTGTCCATGTCTTTTCCGCTGCATCTGAATAAAACAGTAAGCACGGAAAACAAAACAGGGCGTTTAATGTGCCACAACCGCATATCCATTTGTTTTTGTTATAGATATCTTTCTTAAAATGTCTCTTAAAACAACCAGCTTTCGTCGATTTATCAGCCTGAGTAAGGTTGATATTTGGAATCGGCCTTCCAAGGGATTTTATTATTATTTTTTCAGCAAGCGGAAGCCGAGAAAATTCACCTTTTAACAAATTTTGTACTTCATTTGCCATTTTAAACTTTTTGAACGCCCGAACGACGGCACGGGGACGCGACGAAGCGATTTCGTACACACGTAAATCGGGACTGGCTAAAAATTATTTCGCCAACTCGCGTGTTAAAATCCCGTATAAAACTCGTAAGCGCGTGGGAGGTATGACGTAGCGAGCCACTCAATCAGGTCGGCGATCGCGGCAAAAATTATTCTAGCCTCGAATCGATAGGGAATCTAGCTCGCGACTTCGGGGTGTTGGGATCGGATAATATATATATATATATATATATATATATTGCGTGTTGCGTAACTGGCTACTATTAAAATTCAGGTTTTGATTGAAATTTCGTATATCTGGAAATTATTTAATCACAAAATCATATTTTAAATTTTTTGTGAATTCGCATTTTGTCTTGGGGGGCTGTAGCCTTTTCGCCCCTATGGACCGGCCGCCACTGGTCGCACCGAGTAAGAATGTAACTAGAGTATCAGTAAGGAATTGCTCAATCGAGTAGTATGATTTGTTCATAAGTATCTCAACCACTGTTTTTGAGCATTGGTAGATTTAAATCCCTATAATTGAAATTTTTTTTTGGTTCAAAAATTTTCGCCTAATGTAGTTTTTCCTGTAACGACTCGCCTTAAGTCACATGAGATCTGTTCTTAAGTTTTGTTGTCGTCAGGAATTTATTCTATTAGATAATTTTGTTGCTTATAATCACTTAGGTTCTTAAGGTCAAGTAGGCTAATATATCCAAAATATGCAGTCTGAGATTTTTTTTCAATTTTGAGAAGGGCAAGTGTACTTTACGTTTAGCATTACTTGTAACATACTGTAACCGAACCCTTATTCATAAATTTGGGTAGTGAACATCGAATTAATGTAATCGTCTCCCGTTGCTTAAAAAATCTTATTTATCTGACAGACAAGATGAAATTATAGACCCTGCAGTATATACATGTATAATAATAACCTCCATACACCTTAGCGGGATTAATTTGCATACGACCCCCAAAAATTCTTATTTACAATTCAGAATAATTTACTTTGTTACCATGATATTAAGGCTGGGGGGTATGTACGGGCGGAAAAGCAAATTTGAAAACAGCTTACGCAAAAGCAAAGGGATTACTTCGAGTAGTTTATCTTTAACAACGCCCGAGGATGTTGGTTAAAATTTAATTACCAATTAGGCTTGTTTCTTTGAGGCTGTTCTCGTGTGAGTCTGAAGCTTGTAATAATTCTAATCATCGAATGCAAGTGAAAGTATTGGATAATATAACGTGATCGCACATGATTAAGGTCGCTTCGGTATTTGCCTGTATAGAGTTGAAGTTTGGTTGTGAAATATCCGAAGCATTAGATGTAGTGGCTGTAGATTCTGTACGAGGTTTGTTCAAAAAGTATCGCGAATTTCATGCTTTTTTAAGAATTATTTATTTATTCATGAATATCTATTTTGTCCCCTTCAAAGTAATCCCCATCAGACATTATATACTTGTGATAACCTTTTTTCCAATCCTCGAACATTTTGAAAAATCATTTTTTGTGATTTTGTTCAGTTCCTCCTTCGATGCCGTCTTTCCTCCTCAATCGTGGCGTAGCGTCGTCCTTTCATGGACCTCTTCAGTTTGGGAAACAAGAAAAAGTCACAGGGGCTCAGGTCTGGGGAATACGGTGCGTGACGCATTATTGGAGTGTTGTTTTTGGCCAAAAATTCGCGCACAAGTAACGATGCATGAGCAGAGGCGTTATCATGGTGCAAAAGCCAATTTTTTTCTTCCACAAATCCGGGCGTTTACTGGCGGATTGCTTCTCGCAAATTGCGCATTACTTGAAGGTAATATTCCTTATTGACTGTTCTATCCAGCCGCAAGAACTCATCAATGTTTTCGTCTGTTGCTGACGTGCTCAGGCGTCTGGAACGCTTTTCGTCACTCACATCTTGTCGGCCCTCTGAGAACATTTTGTACAACCGATAAACGTTGCTTTTGTCCAAAGTAGCTTCGCCGTATGCAACAGTCAACATTTGGAAAATGTCCGCGCACTTCAAGTTCTTTTTTACATAAAATTGAATACAAATTCTTTCTCACTGCCATAAAGTACTGATGGTTGGATATCCGATTTGTATATCCCTTCGTTTGTTTTCCTTTATATCCACCATGAGTTTATCATCTTGCTTAAAGCCCCCATTGCTTTACTTCCTTTTGCTATTCTTTTTTCAATTTCTAAATCTTCTTTCTTTATCTGTTATTGTGACTCCTAGATGTTCGAATTATTCACCTTCTCGAAACAGTATTCTCTGCAACTACTTTTTATTGTTAACTTTCCTTCGTCGCTTCCTCTCATTTCTAGGTATTTTGTTTTGTCTTCATTTATATGGGGCCAAAAACGTTTGGCAGTTTCTTCTAACCTATTAAACGTCTTTTCAAGTTCAGCGTTGGATCTGGTTATTATTGCTATATCATCGGCAGAGAGCAATCAACTGAGGTTTTCTATGGTAAACAACTCCGTCGGTTTGTATACCACAATCACGTAAAATAGCTTCCAGCGTAAAGTTAAACAATCTTGTAGATAGCTGGTCCCTTTGCCTCAGGCCTCTCGTTACGCCAAAAGCTCTAGATGTTTTCCCTTCCAATGTGACTTTGTTCATTGTCCCGTTCATTGTCATTTTGACTAACCATATCAGTTTACATGGTAGTCCTAGCAGTCTCATAGCTTCATATAATTTTTCTCTGTCATTTAAATCACGCTTGCTTGAAATCAATAAATAATGCGTGTAAACCAAGATTTTGTACATAGCTATTACAGAAAAGCCGTTTCATTGTAAATATTTGGTCTG